TTTGCTAACATGCACATTAAATGAAGATTTTTGAGCAAAAAATGTATCCAGTACCCTCAGCATGATTATTCTCTCTGCTCTGGGAACAACTGAGCCTTTCCTCAGAATTCTTCTGTTGTGGAAAATACACCACCTGGCTTAAAAAGTAAAAAAGAGTTTCTACTTATTTTTACAGCAAATAATTCTACATTTAATATAGGCCCATAGATGTTGGCATACACCTTGTTGCCTTGTTAAAATAAAAACCTCAAACTTCCTAAAAATAGCAGTAACTAGTAAGGATAAACCCAGAATAGACACCTGAAAACAAAAGTGAAAAGGAGATGACTTCAGGGATTTTCAGTAACATTCAAGAAGCAAGTGTAACTCTTAGGCTTAATGAGCGTTACAATACATCAATTACAGAGAGGTAAGTAATTTAAAGGGAAGGGTGTTTGCTGGCAGTCAGTTTGGTCACAGATTTCATTTGCTTCACAGAGCAGGGACAGCACGCTGTAATTAACAGTCATGGTCAGAAGCTGTGTCCAAAGCTTGTTACCTCCTTGCAGCACACCTTTCTCACAAAGCTGGAAAGGTGAGAAACTCCCCTTCTCCACTGTCAGAGGACTCAACCCTTCATCTCCATGCACAGACATGGTATTAGAAATGTATTTCAGATCTGCAGTGGTGATCTTCATGTGCTACTACAGGTTTCCACTGCCTGTTGCTTCTCTGATTAAGGGTACTGACACAGAAGGATGTTTAAGCAGCAGTACTCACTGCTCAAACATGTTTTTGACCTCTGCTAACCCCCCAGCCTTGTATTAGGGGGCACTGCTCAATGGAGAGTACTCAAGATTGAGTCCTCTCTTTCCTAGGTAAGAAGTCTCCATGTAAAACCACTTAAAGTAAGACTTAAAATGCTGCACTTCAGTGCTAAATCTCATCCACTGACTGATTCACCAAAGATGCTTATTGCCACAGGCACCAGACAGGATGAGAGAAAGGAAACATACAGAGAAACATCCCTAGGGATGGTTTAACAATATACGGGAGATCTGTGCTAACTCTAGCAATGATTTCTTCTCACGAACTGACTCAAGTCTACTCTCTGTATGAAGGGAGGATGTTCAAGCACAGTGATGATACCAAAACCTGCTGATTCAGCAAATAAGACATGCTGACCAACAAAGCAATGGCCAACACAACGGAAAGATCAATGAAGGCCAAACGACATATCATATATTTTACTTTTATTTATTCTTCCAGCTGTTTGTCCACTCTTTCCAGCAAGTCCACAAGAAGGCTGACTTTAAATCCATTAGATTTGGTATTACTTCTAGCACAGTAGAATATGTATGCAGATGAATAAAGGCTTGACAGTACATTTGCAGTTTAAGGACCTTTGGAAAATCGTGCATTAATAGGGCTTAGTAACTACAGCCTTACTGCATTTCTTTCAGTCAGAACTGACAGAATTGAGTTTAGGCTTTCTGATATGTTTGTAACATTGCTATTTTTCACCTTTATGTCTTGTGATTCTCATAAACCAAGGAAAATAGCCTAGATCTGACTGCTCCTTTCAACTGCATATATCACATAATAGGGAAGGAAGTGCTGAAAGTCTCTGTGCCATTAAACTGGCCACAATGGATATTATAATAAAACAGGAGATAACAGAAATAACTCCAACTTACTAGATCCCAATATCCTAACTTAAATGCCTTCAATGAATACTTGACTTGATATAAAATTATTCAAACTAACTCTCTTTTCTGGTGTAGTATTTATATGGTAATCCTCCTTCTGGAGAGAAGCTTTCACTCATTTCAGTGTCTTTCCTTCCAATACCCCATTTGCAGTGCTAACACCCCCAGTACTTCTTCAGAGAACTATAAGGAAGGGATCCATAAAATACTGTGCAGGTCAAAGAAAATGTTCATTAAGTGTAACAAAAATGCCTTTTCTTTAATCTAAAAATTGATAGGCTTGCAAACTTTATCTTAAACACAAACAGTACAGTTTCACGTTTTCTATCTTTTTATTTTACCTTTTTTTTCCCCCAAATACTACCAATTGTAGCATGACATAAAACGAGACTGAAACTACTGGTTTGTTTCCATGCATGTTACTGGAAAGCTGCTGAAACTATTGAATTCAACACAAGGAATTGCTGGTTTAGGCTTTTTGTACCTTCAAAGTATTTTCTTACATGGCTCCTAAAACTCTTAGTCTTTTAATAATAAAACAGTTCTTTGTCCAAAATTACTGGGACTGAGGTGAAGGATGCATTTTTGGTTGAAAATAAATCTTAATTATGAAGAGTGGATCTCTTTCCAAAATGTTTTGCAACTGCTAGCCTTTGAATCATGGCAATTTCTGAAAAAATAAAAAAAATAAATAGTGGTGTCACCTGGACAATCAGGTATATAAGTACACACTGTATTCATGGGGCAATCACTACAATGCTGAATCAAACACAAGGTTATAAAATGTAAGATTCCAGGAATGTACTGATGCAACTTGAGGGCTTGGTTTTTGCCTTTTGAAGATGGCTAGAGATCGTTCCTATCAGATTTTGAACACTATGAGAACATATGTTTTTCATTAGCCATCCTCCTTCTCCCACCTCATTCACAAGGTTGGCTTATTCTTAAATATGTGGCTTTGGCTTTTACCTGAAGAAATGCAAACGTGAGATCATCCCAGTGCACTAAACAATGCTTGTTCCCAGTCACTTAAGGTTGTTCAGTTATGGTTTTGCTATTCACATAAAACCATTACCTTCCACATCTGCTCTAAGTTTTGGTTTGCATGCAGAAGCCTCATGCAATGTCTCCACAGAGGGAATTCAGGCTCAGACCTTTGGAGCTATTGGGAGTCCTCAAATAATGCACTGAAAATCACAAAGGGATGGGTCACAGGACAGAACATGCCCCCTCCTCTGTGGAGTTACAATAAGGCTTCTGATGTTGTTTGCAGCTAAATTTCCAGCCAAGAACTTCAGTATTAAACATTAATTAAATTTTGCCCATAAACTAGCTAAAAATACCTGTAGTTTCTAGAGGCAAATTATTTGCATAATTTTTAATTATCAAGCTTCACTGCTCAAAACCCATCTGCATTTCCTAGGTGGACATAAACCCTCAAAAGCACTATTTTTCATGTAATAAAGAAGTTGCAGAAAGGGTAGGAGAATACTGCCAGTCAAGCAATTTGATAAGATTTCATTGCATGTGGTGCTATAGCAAATAATTTAAAATTAAATGTTTTCCAGTTCCACTGTATCATCTGCATACTATTCATTTAGTTCCTTATATTTTGCAGAAGTAGGGCACGTTTTCCAGATGCCATTTATAAGCAACATACACTGTTCATTTTATTCCTTACTGGAAAGTACCCTGGTCTATTTACAAATTAATTTGGGAAGTGACATTGTGACAGTTAGCCCCAAATGGTGCGCCTGACACAAGCAGGAAAGAAAGGATGAGTAGGTGGGATTTTGTGTATGGCATTTCAGAATTAGGGGAGGTAATGTTTCCAGTTATATACACATAAAATTATTTCTGAGAAGACATGCTGAACTTAAGCATTAAGCTAAATAACTATAGCCCTACATTATTTCATGTTATTTTCCAAGACATCATTCATTCCCTTGTTGAAAGCTTGCTTCTTAGCAGTATTTATCTTATTTGGAAAAATTACAGATCTATGAAAGAGCTTTATTTTGTTATACTGATTTATATAACTAGTTCCTTGTACACAGGTACTAAAGAAGTAGAACTTTTCTGTAATGGCAAGTGGAGTTCATTAGAAAAATGCCAAAACTATACAACTGGAAATAATAACAAAGCATAAAAGCACAGCATTTCACATAAGATGAGCTTTCAACTAAATATTAAAAAAAAAAAAACAACCCAACCCTCAAACACCCTGCCATTTTAACTTCAGACCAACTGGAAAGGCACTAAGAATTGAAGTGTGCAACTCATGTCCATACCTGTGAGAGTAACAACCACAGAGAGACGCAAACCTCCAAGGCAGACTATGGCACTGTACAGTCCACTAGGCATTCCTGGTACATACGGCAGTTTTATGTTTTCTTAGGATAAGCTGAGGGACCCCTGGTGGCCTAGTGGTTAGCATGCAGGACTCTCACCACTGCGACCCAGGTTTGATTCCCCAGTCCCCCGGGCAGATGGAGCTCGTTAGCCCTGTGAGGCCATCCATCTATGAGAAGGTCACTCTAAACAAACCTACGTCCTGAGGACCTCACTGCCATTGTCCAAGCTTGCTTGGCCCCGGCAGATGAACCTGAGGATTAAAGGGTGGGCTCAGTTCAGCGCATGCTGTGTCTCACCTAAAAAATCCATTGCGCAGGCTGGAAAGGTAAAAGACCTTTCCCAAAATCTTTGTTCGCGAAGACTGGCCATTACATTACATTACAGGATAAGCTGAAAACATTAACTAAATATACAAACTACATCATATTTCCATGGGGAAAAAAAATCCAATTTAGACCATCTGAAGACAAGGAAACAAGGCATAACATACAGGATATTGTTGGCACAAGAAAGTGTTATCACATCAAAACATGCCCTTTTAAATTTAATCCGGAAGATATATAGGAATGGTGGTGGCAGAGGCAAAGGGACAGGACAAATATCAAATATCCAGTTCAAAGCATGCTACTGAGGTCTTTGTTTCAAAAAGTGAAGCTACAAAAATCACTTCAGAGGCAAGAAAGCACATATCGACAGTCCATCCCATTTCCAGGCATTCTTCTTGTGGGCTGACACTGAAGGATCTGTTCAGTATCGTTTCCATGCCTGGGGCTGCCTAAAGCTTCCCATTAGCAAATGCTGCCTCCTGGAACTGAGGGACAAATGTCTTGAAATAGGCCCTAGTGAAAAAAAAACAACAGAAAACACAGGATTAGGAAAGAGGAAACATAGAGCATGAATTGATGCAGTTGATGTGTGCCATGTTTCTGGGATAAAAAGGTTTTTGGGGGTTTTTTCCCCCCATGTGGAAAAAACTTCACATATAGTACCAAAGGCCCAAATACAGTCAAGTCAATGGAGGAAGAAAATCATGAAGAGAAGTCAGAATATGTGCAGGAAATAAGTTCTTAATCTGTCTCCTTACAGAAACCTTGACACTATACCATCACTCTTCATGGGAGTGGTTTACATAAGATGTAGTGAATAAATATTAACAACTTTGGACAAACTGTAATTCCTTTTATTAAACTTCAAAATTTATAGAATAATGTTCTTAAGGTGTGCTTTGTATATTTTGGATCTTTGTCTACCTTCTTTACAAAGGACTGAGTGACTCATAAATCTGTAAAATGAGCTAATCCTAAGTATCCAAAATTGAGTTTGAACTGTATCTTTGAGTTTATTATGCTGAAGTACTCAACCATGTAAGAAACATATTTTATATGTCCCAATGATACTGTTTATTTGCCAGTTACATTAGAAGCTGCTTCACTGTTCTGCATTTGGTTTCTGCCTATGGCTTTCTGCACCAAACTTTCACTTTCTTGTTTTTTTTCTTTTTAAACATTTTATTTTCTGTTCATATCACTGGTCTGTATAAATTTCTGTTCTCCCCACCAAAAAAAAAATTTAAAGTGAGAATAGGTGCAATGACACTCATTACATTCTTGAAGTAAACATACACCCATTAGCTTCACAATCATGACATGTTTCTAACTGCAGTAGAAATTTTGGTGATCACTGAACACCAATCATAGCTCCTTACATCTCAAAACATTTCAAGATCACAAAGAGAACGCTCCTCTCTCTTTGTCAGGTTGTGCCTGGCAAATTAATTAACAGACAGCTGCAGTCAGCTTTTGTGCAGAAGCTGTAAACACACACGAGATGCTGTCCAAAGGTTAAAAGAGCAATGGAAAGTAAAAGCATTTCTGGACTGAGGAGATGATCCTAGAAATCGAAAACAGGAGGAGGACAACCAGCACACACATTTTATAGCATACACAGATTGTGCTATGTATTTACAGAATGCACTTTGGTTTATAGAATCAAAGTTCAGAAAACAACCCTCATAATCATGCCCACAAAAGTGATTGTTCATGTTGGCACAAACTTGTACATAAAGCAGCTCAGAAGGTATGCCTGTTCTATATTTGCGCTTTTTATAGCATACCTTTCATATTGTAGCCTCTCTATGTCCTGGTCAGTTCTATGTATTTTGCTAGCTCAAGGAATATCACCTGCATGTTGTCAATGCCAGGAATCTATCATACTTTTACTTTTCCTTGCATTACCTGTCCTAACATTTAATTACACATCTCTGCTTGCTTATTTTAAGTACCTTCTCCCTTCCTTTCAGATAGCTTCTCTGCACATGATCTTCTTATTGACTTGATAAATGCTACTTAAAACTTCCCTCTTCCAAAACTGTAAAAATTCTTAATCATTAAACGGTATATGAGCAGAATTATTTTCCTACATTCTATTTCTTTTCCTTTATAGCATTTCTGTGCTTTGTATTAAAACCACACTTACTGCATTATATGTAGTAATTATATATGATTTTGCTGTTAGGTAAATTCCAGAACGAATGCTTCTGATACTACAAACACCCTCCCACACCATCTTTATCTACACTTGCATCCTTTCTTTTCACTGACTCCTGCAGTAGAGCTTGTATCCTCTGCTGCAAAACAAAATCTAACACCTCCCTACATTCTGATCAGATGTACTGTTTCAAAGAGGATGTTATTTCACTGGTAGTTCATATGAACCTCTTGGCAAAGTTCCATACACCACAAAAATTCCTTCAATAGTTCATAATTTTTAAATGTCTACTTTTTTCCTTCCATACCTTAAAGTATATGCTTAAGTTTGCCCTTATCATTTGTGGTCTTGTCCAGATTGAAACAAATCCAGTACCACATGTTTACCTGGGATGTGTTCCTCTATTTCTGCCCCTCTCCCATACACCATAGGTATCTCAAATTAGGCAAAATCTGAGATAATTATGGTTCATCACATACACATGCAAAAATAAATTAAAACACCCACCCCCCTCACAAAACCAAAACAAGAAAGACCCTGCAAAGAAATCCAAAAGCACAATATACTTGATAGACTGTACCAGCTACAGCATATTTAATAGACTGAACAGAAAAGATGGGGAAGTAGGAGAAGAGAGGTTAAACTGCTCAATGAACACTGCATATAGGGAGGGAATGGCAACTGTTAGTACATGGAAGTAATATCACTTATTTTGCATGTGTATGAAGGAGTAGAATGGGCAGCAAAGACATAACTTGTTATTAGAGGTTGCTGGATTTTTTTTTTTAATTACATGGCTTTTTTAATGAAAAATTGCGTTTTTACCCAGCTGTGTGCATTTCCATGGAAATGCTACTGAGATTCCATCAGGGAAAGAACGAGGTATTTCAGTTTGGCTTGATCCAGAAAGATATTCTGGTTTGCAGAACTAAGCCTAAACAATTGGCTTGATATTAACCTTCATATCTGTGGTCCAACATCTCAGAGATGATGTATGTTGGCCCACAGACAAGGCCCTGGTGCATCACAGGAGTCCTAAGCACAAAAATAACAGCAGAAGAAGTCCCTTCAAAGAACCCAGTCCATGAAGAATGATGAGATAAATCATTAAAATTTCTTCTTTCAGGAGGCATTGTGCTACTGCTAGCAGGTGCATTATAGTGTCACATTAACTGCATTTCTGTTTTCACATGTTCCAAGCAAAATTTTTCCTAAACTTTTTCTTTTCATCTGAAGTTTGAGACAAAACCATATGTTAAAATGCCTGAATTGCCTGTGAAATGAAAATTCCAACATTTTTTCTCCTCTGCATACATTACAGTAAGGAGGAAGAGAAGCACCAATCACCTTCTGAGTAATTTCATTTATTGACCAACTGGCATTGAAGTCAATGTATACATGGACATGTATACATTGTATACAGGACCATGACATGGACTATTTATGTGACAACAGATTACATGAAATAACTTCAAGAGAAATATAAAATTTTTTGAAGGACAATACTCTGCTATAGACTGCATGGTAAGGGTCTCCTTCACATGGAATGCTATTCCTTTTAGAAAGATTTTAAATTAAGAGAAAACACTCATATTCCAGCATCCTGTACATAGAGACGCAGAGGAACAGTGAATATAAACATGAACTTTGGAAAAAGATTAGTTTCTCATACCCTATTCACATAAACACATTCACATGAATTTACACCCTCAACAACTTTGATCTGTGCTACACCACAGGAATTCACATAAAAATATCTGAAATTTTTTTTCAGACACTTTGCCACATGATACTTTCAAGTATCTCCAAACTATTTTGAAATTATTATTTTTACATCCACTAGATATGCTTTTCAGCTCTGGAGAACTGTTATTAAAAAAAATAAATCAGTAACTTGGGTATCTGTTGAATTACACTGAAGATGAAGAAGGCTGACTTGACCTATGGTCTCTCAAGGCTGTGTCAAATGGCAGAAAACAGCTTTTGATCAATGCTTTTTCTCCTTTCTGGGAAACACAGAGTTCCTTCTTTCTCCTGCTTTCCTCTACTATGTTCTTGGTGGGTCTGTATCACACTGACCTCACACCAACCTCAGAAGAACTGCATAAAATGCTCCTTCAAGTACAGAGAAACTCATTTGTACGAAGTCCACAAATCTTCTTTATCAGAGTGTTGAGTACAATCAACACTCAAATAAAGTAAAACACATGTTGAGTGTTGCACCCTTCTCACAATGGTTTAGATCTCAGCTTAAACAGTGTTTAAAGAGTTGTTTTCAGTCTAGAGTGGTTGCCAATCTTCATACACTTACAGGCACCTGCCTAACTCTTTGTTGAGCATCTTACCATAAGACTCCATTGTTTTTTGTCCATTTGTTTTTGTTCCCTCAAATGGTCATTTTCCAAGTTCAAGGTAGCAAGTTATGAGGTTTCTATGGAAATTTTTCTTCATCACTCCAGAAAACAACACATTTTGCTGTAGTTAACCACTATATATACTTGACACAGTACATTGAATTTCAGGTGCCACGCTCAAGGACATCTGCTGAGAGTAAAGCACTTCTCTTTCCTTCACCTTATTATCCAGTGTAAAGAAAGTCTTGCTATTATTGCAAGTGGTAGGCATCTAAAAGAAGGTAGAATTGGCTCACCTGCTGTTTAAGTATTTTCTAGTGATATGAAACACTGACTGTGGTGCAAGGTCTCCAGAAGCCCATACATGTCTAAATCCCAGGGTGTCGGTTTGCAGCACTTAAAACATACTTGACTCAGAATTCACATGCTTTTGTGAAATTTCATTCTAATTGTAATGGATTTTTTCCCAGGATAATTTAGTGCTGGGTTTTTTAAATGCAGTTGGTAGAAAATCTGCATTGACCACTTGATAATACCTTTTGCTTTCAGATAGCTGAAGGTACTCTTTTTGCTGAAAATCTGCAAAGATTTTAAATTAGGCAGCTGCAATCTCCCATCAAACAACACTTCACATATATTTATGGTGAAAGCACTGTAACACTAACACACTTGCTTTCTGCTGTTGCTTTTGCTGGACTGGTGCTATAGTCAACTATACAATGGTTACTGCTCCTGGTGTAATAAAGTTAGAAGAGTTAGCTAGGTGTTTCTATTTCTCTTAAAATCTTCATGTGGTAAATTTGGAGCAGAACAAGATTCAATCTCTGTGAGGCAAAAAGCATACAAAACGCTGTATCAGTGGGATTTCTGCTTTTTGTCTGGGACAAGGACAATCGTCGTGGGGTGAGGAATCATCTTCCCAAGTCATTCACAAAATAGATTCCCCTTAAACTCCTTGGTTCATGAGTGCCAAGTTTTTCAGCATGCTAGCCCTATTTGCACTCATATGTTTTATTAGTTTCAGCACAAGATGTGGGAGTTCCAAGTGCCTTTTCCATCGAGAGACGATTTAAGGAAAAGGAAGAGGATGAAATAATCATGATGGTCCACATCAAGAACAGACTTACATGTCCAGCAACATGTCTACTACCAGCACAGTGTACTCCGTCCTTGCACATTTTTTACTGGCAAATTAAAGCCCTTGAGCCAAAATCTTGATCTTTTCATAAAGACACAGAGGCTGTCATTACCTTCTCTCGCTGCATCAGGCATATACATTGTGTTCCTTCTCATCTGAAGGCAGACTCAGGTTATCATACTTGGGTTTTTTTCCTACTATTGACTTTGAGAGCAACCTTTATTCTTAAATATTACCCCTTATTTCAATATTCTAATTCGTTCTTGTAAAATGTTTTAGTAAGTACTGTGACTATGGTTTAATTCTGCAAATTTTTGTTTCTAACTATTATAGAACAACCCTTGCGTATTCAAAATCACAGTAGCCAATATATTTGAAAAATACCTCCCTTTTCTCCTACTCTAGGCAAGGCATACGGGAAAATGTGAGGTTTTTTTCCCCTCAACCTTTTCAAGTTAATAGATATCAATTGGGCAGGCACTCCTGTAGTCACGGGTATCTCTGAATCCTTACTTAATCCTTACTTACTTCTGGAGTAAGATCTGTAGCTAGGACCCCCTTCTCCTCAGTTGTT